CTTACCGAACCTCTACACCCTAAAGACAATCTGTTTTCCAAAAATCAGCTTTTTACGTCAAGCGCTTTAAGCAGGATCGTGATTAATCAATGACCAGATTTTTCGAAACACCCTGTATACATTTTTAAAAAAAATCTTAAAATATGTAAAAACAAAATAAAATATACGTGTTTAAGCGTTTTTTCGGAAACTTGACCGTTTTTAAATAAAAATATTGTAATATTTGAGGGGTGGTTTCACCCTCTTGGAACTGGAATTTCGAAAAATCCCTTCTTATCGAACCTCTACACCCTAGAATCAACCTGTTTGCCAAAATTGAACTTCTTACGTTGAGTGGTTTGAGCAGGATCGTGATTAATCAGTATGTCAGTCACTTAAGGATTTTATATATTAGTATAGATTTTAAATTAAGGACTCACGGAATCCGTAACAATACCTATTTTTCAATTTTGATAAACCAAATATGTTTTAATCACTACAATCTAGTCGTAATCCTGTCATATAAAAAAACATCGCAACGTTAAAAGCCGGAGATAAAATCTACTAGCAAACATAGACCCTCTTTATAAATAATATTAATAGAACGTAAGAGAGGGAGAGAGAGATAAATTATAGTGACGTATTACAATCCTTAGAGATATGTATATTAAAAATTCGATAATTTGTAATAAACATAACTTTCCATAATTATATTTAGCTAATTTTTTAAATTAAATATTAACTTAGTTATTTTCGATAGTGCGACAAATTAAAAACAAAGAAATATGTTTACATCGGAGAAATAACTATGTTACTACACATACTACACAAGGAGTTCGAGAAATGCAATGCATTTTTCGAATTTTTGGAGTTCTTTTTAAATATTGCAGTAAATAGTGAAAATAAGTATAGAGTGTTATATATTTTTGAGAATCGAGAAACGGATCATATGACTTATAAATATAGAAGGTGTTCCATTTAAAAAACATAACTTTAGATTATATTTTCAAAAATATTTTTTTCGTAGAAAAACAGACTACGCCACTGCATTCTACGTAAAAAGTTCTACAAGAATCAGTTTTTACCTTCTCGATACCTTTCACAATAACGGAGATACGGGGGCTGCCCTAAATTGCAACATTTTCGAAAAGAGCCTGTAGCTCAGAAACAAAGAGGGTTATGAAAGGTTTGGAAAAAAATGGCATAGGTTTGTGCAAACCGCACCCTCCTATCTTTACTAATAACGGAGATAATAATAATAATAGCTCCCGTATATAGCGTTTAACGCCTTGGTAGTAGCCTGTAGTAGCAAGGTACAGCTTGCCATGCTAGAGCCGTTCGGTATACAAGGAAGGTAATGTGGCTAGCATTACGCTTCAACCGCCTATTATTACCTCAGGATTGTGAATCCCAAGTACTCATTTAAGGCTGAGTCCACCTAGGTACCCAAACTATTTTTATTTTAATAAAAATAGTCGGCTGATGAAATGCCGGGTGTAGGATTCGAACCCACAACCTTGAGATTGGTAGACGAGAGCCTGTACCTCTACGCCACCGGGCACTAATAACGGAGATACCACATGATTTCAACTAAAATGGGACACCCTGTACATAGTATAATAGTTCATTTTACATACATACATATACATACTGCCATTACTCGCTGACGAGTATTTGACACGCATCAGAAGATGATCACGCAACGCGTTTTCTTTCATGAGCTTTTCTGTGACTGAAAAGCCCGATACGTGATGTTATCTGTCTACCGCACTCCAGACATTCAAAAATCTCATTGCTTTGTTGCCTCTTTACTTTTTGGTTGTCGCTATTAACTGACTTTACAATTCTTCTCCATTCCGTTCTATTGTGAGCTGCCTCTTCCCACTCATTCTGCTTGTTAATTCCCTTTAAGTTTTCGTGGAAAATATCCTTGAACCTTTTGAGTTGTCCACCCGGCCTCCTCTTACCGTCTACAAGCTCACCGTAAAGCAGAGATTTTGGTATGCGGTTTTCTTGCATTCTGCATACGTGACCAGCCCATCTTCAGCGGGGCTTTGTAATCATGACTTCAATACTCTCGCAGTTAGCTTTTTCAAGGACCGATACGTTTGAGACATGATGGAACCATTTTATTCTTAAGAGTTGTCTAAGATGTCTCTGTTGCAACTTGTTTAATTCGTTCATGTGTCGGCGGTACGGCACCCAGGTTTCGCTTCCATATAACATGGTGGGAATTATTATAGTTCATTTTACTCTCAGCTCTAGGACTATAAATGTACTTGATAAGAAAAATCAGATTATAATAGTGTCATCTCCTGTCATACATCCATAAATATTTACCAAAATTTCCACTTAGGGATCTTCGGTCCTAAAATTTCAGTTCCGGTATTCGGTACCTGAATACTGGTTGGACTGGAATACCGGATGGATTGGAATACCGGTTAGATCAAAATATAGAATGGACCGAAACAGGCGTCATATGACGAAATTTTGAAATGTCGGTATTGAAACCGGTATACCGGTTTTATAAGAGAAGGTACTTGGTACCGAAATATTTTAAAAATACCAGTCCTGGATGGATTTTTCATCCGGTAGTGGATGAAGAACTGGTAAAAAAAAGTGACAGAGATTTAAAATAGACGGCTATTTTACTTCCAAAACATTGATGTAAAACATCGTTAGAACAATATCGATACTATAGTTTACAATAGTAGATTATCGATGTTTTAACAGCAGAACATGTCGTTTACATCTCTACTAAGAACTAAATAATATTAATTGGTTATCACTTTCAACATCATCACATTGTCGCATAGTACTGAGAAGTATAACAAAAAATTGTCAAGGTGCAGATGAACTTTGGACTCAAGTGTCGTCTTCATGGCTGCCACGAGAATAATATTTTCCGTTATAAATTGTACACAAAAATAAAGTAATGGTTTAATTGTTAAAAAATGTCATAATAAGTGTTAAAATATTAAACACAAGTTTACTGTTAAACATCCTCTACACTATGCGGAGAACTCTTCGAAGCAGGTCAAGGTCGCATTTCGGTTTATTTCCAGTTGTCTTGGCTTCGGTTTGCCCCGACCTACTTTCGATTCTTAAAAGCGCCTGAAAACGACTCGTGAAGTGGGCGTGGGTTTTTTTTGGCGTTTCCTGTTGCCTCGTTCAATTTTGTTTCGTTTTGAGCTATTTCCAAAACATGGCAGTATCTGTACCCGAGGCAAAGGACTTTTTTCTTAAATCTCAGTGAAATAAGTAAACCTAGACGTTTCTAAAATAGCGGTTGTTACGATGATATTTTGTTAATTACATCTCGTTTTATGTTGATATATATTTCACAAGATTAAAATTTGAACACGCGTTTGTAATATGTAGAGTAGATATTTAAGAACAAAACTTTTCACTTAATCTACAGGAATATAATTACAATATCTTTATTACATATTTAATTTTATTCTAATGAATTAGTATATAAAATTGGATATGTTATGTTTGTTTACGCGGTCTTAATTGATTAATATAACAGTAGTATTGCTTGATGAGTAATACTGGCAACATCATCAATATATCGAGCTGATTGGGAAAATTATTGATTGACCCGATGTCAATAAAAGATACTTTTATATACAGGGTGTTTCAAAACAAATGCGAAAAACTTCAGGGGGTGATTCCTTGTTCAAAATAAAGGGTAGTTTGCTTTATAAACGTTGGGTCAAAAGTCAACCATTAGGGAGATATCGCGGTACAAAAATGGCGGAAAAATAATGTTTTTATTTTTTATCTTGAAAACGAAAAGAGATAGACTAATGAACTTTTACGGAAGCATTACTGTTATGAAAACACACTTTCTGGTAATTTTTTCACTTTTTTAAAATGAGTGGAAGGGGTTGAAATAAACTACCCCTATCATTCTTGTTAATGAAATTTAAAGAAAAATCTTATCAAACACATGCAAAAAAAATTAATTCTGATAGTTTAGTTTATTTAGAAACTTTTTTATCTCTTGTGTTTTTTTGATAAAACTGACCGATTTGAAATTAAAAAATAAAATGTAAAGCATTACATGTCAGGGCAGAAAACATTTTTAGATAAAGAAAAAAGGCTTCGGAATTATTAATTGATCGTAAGATAATAACGTATTGCAGTAGAGTATGTCAAATTAAATAATATTAGAAACATCCTAAAAAGTGACAGCGGTCGACTAGATTTTTTCCTAAGAAAATTACAGCAGCCAACTAGATTCTATATCTAAAAATGTTTTTTGTCCTGACATGTAATGCTTTACATTTTATTTTTTAATTTCAAATCGGTGACTTTTATCAAAAAAACACAAAAGATAAAAAAGTTTCTAAATCAACTAAACTATCCAAATTAATGCATCTTGCATGTGTTTGATAAGATTTTTCTTTAAATGTGTGAGTGATAGGGGTAGTTTATTTCAACCCCTTCCACTCATTTTAAAAAAGTGAAAAAATTACCAGAAAGTGTGTTTTCATAACAGTAATGCTTCCGTAAAATTTCATTAGTCTATCTCTTTTCGTTTTCAAGATAAAAAATAAAAACATTATTTTTCCGCCATCTTTGTTCCGCGATATCTCCCTAATGATTGACTTTTGACCCAACATTTATAAAGCAAACTAACCTTTATTTTTAACAAGGAATCACCCCCTGAAGTTTTTCGCATTTGTTTTGAAACACCCTGTATATGGATCTAAATATTTTAAATCTCTAAAACAATAAGCAAAATACAAAATTGATCTATAGTGTAATTATTTATAGATATTCGGCCGAATACCGAATAGTAGCCGAATATTCGTCGCATTTCTAATCTCTATTATTAATATGCGATGTAAAATCATCCTGTTATTCTGTCCCCTGATTACTTTTTCTCCGTGTACATCGAAACACGAATCGTTAATGTAAACAATTAATTTCGCGCTACAATAACATAATTCGCGTTACCCACTGATAATGAAATTAATCAGTTTAGACTCTCTCTATTAAGTTCGATTGTGTCGTAATTCGCGCGTACATCTGGCAACGTCGGTTTCGCCAACCTGACCCGCAATTTTAATTTTTTATTAAATTCGGGCGCGAACGCTCGTGTTTTTCACGCTTTTTTCTTGTTAAATATTTAAAAAGACTGAGGAAAATAGAAGGGAATAGAGTTGGTTTTAGTGCCGTAGTGAGCCCGCAAACGAACTATGTACAATGGAGTGGACAATACGCGTCTAGTCAACGCTTTTAGTTATTTACAGTTACAACAGGGATATTATTTTCAGGTAAACATGTCTATATTCACCAATAATTATTTGTTTCAAGGTAGAAAGTAAAAACAATTCATTATTACTAAAAGTTTGGGATTTTGGACTTCTTACCTTAACATACCCTATTTTTTTAGTTTGGTACGGTATGATTTCCATAAAATCATATAAAATTGTTTGATTGGGTTCAATTTTTGAAAAAAAGCCTGTTTTTCGCCACCGAAACACCAAATTTCAAAATTTCAAAAATATTTTTTCTAAAGTGCCAGTGCATTAGAATCCAAATGTAAACTAGCTTTTCGGTGTTTTTTTATTCGTTAACGTAATTTGCCTAACCAACAAAAATTGGTTAACATCCATTAGCGTAACTAGCAATTCATCCTGGGGAGAGGGGGTAGTGTTGAATCCAGGGGAGAGTTAAGGATTTTGTTTTTTTTTTAAATGCAAGTACAATATCATTAAAAATAACTACCTGTTGACGGATAACTAATGAGGTGAAACCAAAAAGCTTAAAATGTGTGAATATCTGTGTGTAAAATTTATTGTTTTGTTTTTTGAATAAGATTTATCTCTTCAAAACAATCCTATATGAGTATTTCGCCACTGTAATAAAATCTCCAAAAAAAATAGATATCTTTTTAAACACTGCTGCGTTACAGCGCTTTCAGATGGAGCGGACCGTACGCGCGGAGCGTCCGCGAGGATGTTTTTTCAATATAGCTCATTCGGACGGAGCATACGCGACCCATGTGAAATCGTTCATATAAACTCATGGTATACTCTGTTTTTTTTCTCAGGTAAGATTTCGACAGACGATGACAGAAGAAAAGCAGATGACGTCCCATACCAATCTATTTATTTTACTAAAAAAAGTTTCTAATAATTTTTAAGTTAACTATGGATGGGTTTAAATATAAATTCGTCATGCGTCGTCACTTGTTGTTTTTAACCAGTTTTATTGGTTTATTTCAAAAATGACAGATCGTATTTCAATTTTATTGGTTTGACGGAACGATGAACGACAAACGGACGCCGATGCGTATGAACTCGCCTTTAGATTTTTGACGTTTGTCAAAGTCTTGCCAAATTATAGGTTATAATTTTGTGACAACTTTTGTCAAATACCCTGCGTTTTGGAAGATGATGCATTTTGATTCGTGTTATTACGAGTGTTTTGTGTCTTTTGAAGTCAAGTGGAGGAAAAATCGAGTGAAAATTAACTGTAGAACCCAGAGCACAGGTTATGGTTAATAGTCGCTGCCCAGGCAGAAAGTCTTATACAGATACACCAATAAAGTTACTATCAATAAAGTTCGTATACCATCTCGTCGTAGATAAGTGCATCTCGCATATGGTAGAAGGGCCATACTAAACACATACTAAAAACTGGAGTAGCTGTAAAATATCAACATCACACGATAGGTAAATAATGGATTTTAGTGCTGCAGAAAAATAATGTCAAAAGGTACTGGTTTAAAAAAATTAAGAATAAAGTTAATTAATCAACCTGTGAGGTATAAAATTTGGTAAGTGTTATTATTAATAAAATAGTTTGTTTTATTTATGTTGTTTTATTTATTCCTGCGGAATATTACAAATTTGTATTTGTACATAAGTTATATTGATAAAATATAATCATAAATGCGGGAAGTTTCATAAAGCTTGAAAGTAAGAAATAGTTCTTTTTTATATTTTTTGGTATGTGGTGTCTGGTTTTTGTTTGTTTTGTATTAACACATACCGTTTTTTATTAAATAAAATAATTCGATTACATTTTTTCAGTTTTATGCAGTTTTATTCACAATATTTTGAAGTTACTTGTCAATCAAATTTTAAATACATATATTAATTTCCTGCTATGCGTTCCAGTTGTAACAACTTATTTCTTTGTAAAATAAAATAAACTACTTTGAAATTAAAATGACAGACACATCTATCACTGTCAAGGATCTTCTTGTTGAACAGACTATACCTGCTCGAAGTCGCGGACGCTCCGCTCCATCTGAAAACGCTCTTAATCCAACAGCGCTTTCAGATGGAGCGGACCGTACGCGCGGATGTTTTTTTCAATATAGCTCATCCGGACGGAGCATACGCGACCCATGTGAAATCGTTCATATAGACTCATGGTACTTGCTCGAAATCGCGGACGGTCCGTCGCGGACGCTCCAAAAAAAAATTTTTGAAAATAATTCCCAAACTTAATAATTTCATTATTATAATTTAAATACTTGACATGAAAAAACACTAATATTTGAAAAGAATAAACTCCGAATAGCAGTCACTGTCAAGGGGAATTTCATGAACAATACACTGCTAGAGTAAGCATCCGGTTTCGAATGCTTTGTATAAACTATTTCTGCAATGCTGAAATTCAAAAGCGAATGTGTCGGATAGTTTCATTGTCCAAAGACCACTATATGGAACGAATGTATGGAAATATTTGCGATACTAGATATTATTTCCTCCCTATCTCAAAAGTTCTATATTTATGTTGTACTTTTACTGACTGCGATAAGTCTTTACTGGGGTTTTTGGAAGAGGTAGGTAGTTATGTGAATTATGATACCTATAAAATGTCTGACATTGACTTTCAAAACTAGACAACATTTCTAGTTTTCGAAAAAGCAATCAATCTAGCTAGAAAAGGAGAGAGTACATACACTCCACTAACTGGACCAGAACCATTCTGTTTCCCAAGTGGAAACCAACTCAAGAACCTGGAGGACTCAATTCGTAACCTGGTAATGGGAAATGGGAATCCTGCAACGGTCTAAAAGACACTCGAAGAAGTTTCTCAAGACTTACGACCGAGAAAAAAACAAATATATTCCTTGATTGTTTGCATTTTTGTATCGATTTTTTTAAATTTTATTTTTATCATGTGTACTCTTAATACGCCATACGAAATATACAGGGTGGTCCGATCTGTATTCCGGAAACTTCGGCAGCATATTTTGCAAATAAAACTAAGTAAAACAGTTCGTATACAACCATGGGCCCTACCCAACATGTGTGTCCTAACATGCTTAGTTTCGGAGATATAGGGTGTAGAAGTTTCATTTTTATTTCGATTTTTTCCAAATAATTTCTGAAGTTAAGTCAATATTTGGATGAAAATTGGTATCTGGCAGTTTTTTGACATGAAAAATTTGATTTTGATGTCAGTATACATCTACATATTTTTTCACTGGTTTAAAAAGTATTAACTTTTTGTCCATACCTGTATAAAATTATTGTACAATTATTACAGTTACAGTATGTTAGTAACAAAATATACATTTACGACGTTTTCTACATAAAAAAGTATCTCGGTAAAAATCGCTGCGAGTGATGGTTCTTAAAATATTTGCAATCGAAATTATCAATACCTGTCATCATTGACATAAATTAAAACTCTGTTCACTAAACAGTTAATAGATTGAAATCTATTAACTTACCATTGGCCTAAGTTTTTGGGCCAAAAGCTCAACAGAAGCAACTGTTTTATCATCATTTTTTCGAAGAAAAATTTATGATTAATTTAAAAAAATAAAAAGTTCCCAAATTTATCATTTCAGGCAAATAACTACATACCTACTCAACATCTTTATTTTTTGTCAATAATGGCATGTATTATCATGAGAACGGTTGCTCATAGCGATTTTTACCAAGAGACATTTTTTACGTAAAAAATCATGGAAATGTATATTTTTTTACTCGGTAGTTATATACAGGTACGGACAAAAAGTTTACTATTACTCTTCAAAACAGTTAAAACACATGTAGGTGGCACCCCCTACAAATAGGAGTCATATTGACATAAAAATCAAATTTCTCAAGTTAAAAAACTTCCAGACACCAATTTTCATCCAAATATTGACGTTACTTCATAAATTAATTGGAAAAAATCGAAATAAAAATGGAACTTCTACACCCTGTATTTCCGAAACTAAGCATTTTAGGACATACATTTCTACGAACTTTTTTACTTATTTTTTCCTGCAAAACATGCTGTCGAAGTTTCAGGAATACAGTTCGGACCACCCTGTACATTTTCACCAACTCTGTGCATTAAATTCTCTAGGAAATTTCTTGAAATACGAGAAAAAAATCTTCTTTCTAAAATAAAATTATCGAAGAAAAAAAACTGTTTTTCAATGTAAATGAAGAAACCTGGTTTTATCTGTAGGCGGAGGAAATTGAAAGATAAAAATGGGAGAATGTGTCTCCGCGTTCCTCGAGTTATTATCTGGGTCAGATGGAACTCGTAAAAGAAAATTGCGGCGCCTGAGATACGTGGCAATGAAAGCCCTTTACTGCCGATGTGTTATTTGTTCTGGAGTATTTGGGATGGTGAAATATATAGGGAAAAAGGATCAACATCGGCATAACGATATTAAATTTATCGTAGAATGTCAGAAAATGAGATAAAAATATAAATTGCCTTTACACACCTTTATACAGGGTGGCGCCTCTCATACGCCACGGAGGCACAAATTACCTATAACAGATGCGAAAGAAAGCGACTGCATCGGAAACCGCTCGGCAAACCCGACACGCCTATTGAGTAGTGTAAATACACCAGTCGTTTAGTCCGGAAACCTATGCTGTGTCGTATTCGCTTGCTGGAATGACATAGTGCGTGGTTATATGTTTCTTTTTAAAAACGCGTGTAGGTTTTTGTTGAACTTTTAAACTGTTATTTCTAAGTTTTGGTAATTTGTATATCTTTTTTAAAATGGGATGTGTTTATTTATAAGGAAAAAAAAGATATTTATAGTATAAAAAATTAATTTATTTAACAAAATTTAATTAAAAATGTGACAAAATAGTTACCTTTCTATTGGTTCTATCGGACTTTTTTCGACTATATAAATCTTTATTTGTAAACTTTAATACATCAAATATTTTTAATTTAATAAATCATTTAATGATGTAAATAAGAGGAAATTTCTCACATGGGTGGTCAAATTTTATAGTTTTCATTATATCAAACAGCCTCTGAGAAATGTTTTCAATTCAAAATGCCTTTAATT